GCTGCACTGCTCCACCCTGTCCCCAGGAGCAGGGGCAGGAAGTAGAAGCTGGAGCAAGGTAAGGGAACCTGGAGAACTTTGCTGCTGCAGCAGGCAGAACAGGGGAGGGGAGGAGAGGGAGACAACATGATGGACAACTGCATGCCAGGTGGCTGGGCAGGAGCCTATATAGGCTATATGTGGCCTGTGGGTCCCCAGTTGTACAGCCCTGGTTTAACTAACGCATTGCAAATTTATATGCTCCTTGTGGAAGTCTGTAATATGGGCAGGTAAGAGTGTCTTAGCTATAAAGTGTCTGCTATACCAAGTTGTCAGTATAGTCAGGAAAAAAGGAAGACTTGCAGAGTTTTTTTCTTTTAAATGTTTTCTTAGAGAAATTGCCCTGGCTAATTCATGGATTCAGAGCACAACTTTTGAACCTCTTCCTGGTCTGTCAGCACTACTCCATATACATATGCTGGAGGCATCATTCAACTTCTGAACTGTAAAATAATTGTTTCAGTAGTTGCTATTTCCAGTCAGGTTAGTTTTTAAGTTGCAAGCTTCTACTGAGAGAATGCAGTATTTATATTTTTAATTTAGCAGGGAGTTTTTGTCACCTGTCTCAAGAAATACTTGAACTTCTGTCGAATAGCAGAGTCTCTTCTTTATAAGGTCTCAGAATCTAATGGACAGAAAAATTCTCTGCATATAAGGTCATTTCTATCCTTGGCTGGTACCTTTTATAGTCAAAAACTTGCACAAATTAAAGTTGCTTCTTTAGTTTCAGCTTCTACTGGCACTTGGCATAGTGGGACTACTTGCAAGTCTTTGTCACCTGGTAAGCTGTGCTGGCAGGAGTTCTACTTCAGGGCAAGCTGAAGTGTAGAGGCCAGACAAAAACTAATTTTCAGGTTTGGAGGTTGAACTCAGAGCTCACTGCCCTACCCCACATACCCCACTGCCACACCCCAGTTTGTTCTTGCTGGTTTGCTGTAGCAGTCATCTTCATGCCATACTGCCCTGATAACAGAAAGATAGAGGATGAACATATCTTGTGTTTGATGCTCTTAGCAAAGGATAATCCAATCTCTCCACCTTAGAAATATGCTAATGTAAGACTCTAACTGTTGCAGATCTTTGGACCTTAGCATAATGAAAAGTTGAAAAACTTACCTGAAAAAGATGTCTTTCTTCAAGTGATAATGTCCTTAGGTCTACCCCACCCAGGAGATCCTAGGATGATCCAATCAGAGATGAAAATTGACATTGAAGATTTGGGTACATCTTAGACTATATGTTTGTGTCAGTATTGATTGGCCTATAGTATTTGGAAAATATAAATAACTTTCCACTGAGAGTTCCTACTGGTCAATACTGCAATTACTTCAACTGATTTTGCATATCTCTGAGGTGTGGGTCATCAGCTTGAATGTCTTGCCTGATAGGACACATGCTGTATATATGTTATCCATTAAATTAATTGTATTCATTGGCCTTATCTACACTTGGAACTTCTTTGTTCTTCCATTTTTCCTGAGCCCTGTGGACACTCATGGACCACTCCTTACTCTGGTACATCTATATAATATCTGAAAAACTGGTGCACAGTTTTTCTGTGTACGAGATGTTTTTTGACAAAAATTCCACCATAGTTAAAAAAAACCCCATTTTTGTTCCCCAAATTCCTTTATTTATGGAATACAAGAGAGGTAGTACATGCTGAATGAATCC